AAACTATTACAACAAAAATACGAAATTAGCAGAACAACAGAGAAAATTGGTAGATGAGCATTTTATAACAAGAGGTAGAGCTGGTTATTGTAGCGTTGATGCTACTACTGCTCATTACAGTTACGATTGAGCACAAAATGTTCACGTTCCCCATTCTGATCAACATACAACAGGTGAGTAAAATTTACCTCAGTCCGCGTAAACTGCATTTTGTTTGGTATTGAAAATGAAGCAATACGCGAACAAATTAATTACATTCTTGATGAAGACGAAATTATCGGCAAAGGTCCTAATGGTACAATGAGTCTGGTATTCGATGGAATAAAGAAACTGAATAAAGGTGAAAACCATTTAAAAATTACCTGCGATAATGCGGGAGGACAGAATAAAATAATGTCACCATTTGAGTTTACCTCTATTTAGTAATTTGCGGTTATTATGAAAGTATCGAATTAAATTTTATGGTACCTGGACACACTAAATTCAAGTGTGATGGTGGTTTTGGATTGATCAAGAAACTATACCGCAGAACGACAGTAGATTGCGTAGATCATATTGTTGAGGTTGTGAAAAAATCGAGTACATCGGGATTAAACAAAAAGGTTTCCAGCACTTGGATCTTAATTTCGTGTTGGGGATTTTCTTTAAGAAATTGAGTGGTTTACAAAGTATCAGCATTTGTATTTGAAGCAGCCAATCCTGGAGTTATCAAAGCTCAGCCGGTTGCTAATGGTGCTTTTACTGAATTTAATTTGTTAAAAACTAGAAAAGCAAGTGTTTCTGAAATTGCCAAAGAAATCTATCCTAGTACTAACTCTCCTCCTTTGGATTACAAAAGACAAGAATATCTTTATCAAAATATTCGCCCATTTGTTAGAGACGGTAGACCGATTTATAACTCGTTTCGGCTGGCAAAAGTGTAAGCGATTGAGTAATTAGGTTGACATTTCTACCAGGCTTGGTAGTCCATGGATTTCAGCATAGTTTTCGAGAAATTTTTTCACGGCGGTAGCAACTGTTATATCATGGTCTTTCATCGCGGTATTCGTTTTATGTTACCATGAACACGCGGTATCATGCCATTCGTCGCCAAGTGATTTCGAAGTGAGTGCGACCAATTCCTAACATATTGAGATATGTTTTCTGACAAAGGGCCGTATTGCGATCTCAATAATAAAAAGTTCGCTTATTAGTACGTGATTCTTTTTAAGACGTTGACTTGAAACGCCTCACGTAATTCGGCAAATTTCTCAAGAAGCGCGTGGCTTTTTCATATTCTGTCAAACCATTATAATTGTAATAGATTTTACTGCTGCCATTGTGTTTATTAATTTGAAACTGTACTTCCTGAACAGGCAAAAAGCCTACAACTAGTCCGTTAGAATTTTATGAATTTAGTAAAGAGGCTTGATGCCAATGGTCTGATTTAACATTGCATTGCTGGTAATGCTGTCCCGTACATAAAAACGTATACTTCAATTGTCTAATAAAAATGCGGAAACTTTTCACTATTGCCATAACTTTCTTACTGTTCCGCATGTCGTCAAACGGATTAATATAGGCTTTTAGCATCACATCCAGCTCTTTTCTAAATCTCAGGAGAAAGACAGACAAATGGCACACATGAGTTTTTTGAAAACTTCGTTCAACGTTACATAGCACTTTATATATAAATCTTCGTTTATCAAAAATGACGCGAACTGGTTCCAGAAAACTACTTCCTTATAAGCAATCTTCGTTCAAGTGAGAGTTCGTTAAAGTGAATTTCACAGTGTACATACTAATCATTATTGCTTGATGTCATGAAGTCCTTGGAAAATTTTTGCTCTAGTAGCGTACGCTAACATGCAACGAATAGAGATCACACATAAAGGCATTCGAACTCAACTATAAACAAAGCCAAACTACAAGCGGGGTAACTACGTATCTATGCCGTTCGGAGTATATTAGCTTACGGTCGATAATAACACGTTAAACAACATATACTCTAATCCTCTGCAAAGCAACTTTTGCTCTTTTCGTTCACATGGTAGTGCCTACGGTTTACTTACGTTTGCTTGTGGGGATGAGAATATACGCCAATCTCGTGTCGTCTCCTCGTACTTTACATTTTACAAGGCTGAGATTTCGGCCGCAGAGCTTGCGAGGCGCTTACCACAAAAAGCAATCCATTACTATTTTAAGATGGCCTGGGGGTGCTAATGATAAGGACGAAGCAATAAGTTTATTAGTTAAGCGTCACCTTTTACCATTTTATGAGCATCAAGATGAATACATACTGTACTAATTGATCTATGAAACTATGATAATATTATTTAGACGCTTTGATGCTTTTGAGGCACAAGATATCCCATTCCGTGAATCATAATAATAATGAGGAAGGTTAAGAGTTCAATAGTCGACTGGATTATGTTTTAACTTTTCTTTATGTGTATCGTATTATAATAACTGGATCACAGCGATATCATACTTAAGCGAGCGTTGTTTTATCGTCAATTCCAACGAATATTCTATCGCAATATAGAGCATGTATGGAAATAACGTTACAGAATGAAGATGAAGATTGCAATCTACACACACTAATCGGTACAATAAAACAAGCTTTTCTTTTCCGACTTTTTGTGATGTCTAGTGATGACGACAAATTATAATAAAGCCATCAGTGCTAATTGTACTCAGAGCGGCAAATTCAGATGCATATTAACCGTCTGTAATTTATAGTTGAGTTTGCGTCAAGTGTAACATTTTTAATGTCTTAACTCTGGTCGTGAAATTAGGACTAAAGTGAATGGAATTACTCTAGATTAAATCCTTATGTGCATGCTTGTAACGAGCCAATCAAAGTTTTCGAAAAAATCAGGGCCAATCACATCGCAGGATTTTCGAAGAAATTTGGGGGGCTGTGCGAGTTGACACAATCATTCACTGACTATGTGCTGACGCAGTTTTCGCGTCCTCGCGTTCGAACTTGTATCATACACTGACACACCAATGAGTAATACTGACCATTATCCAGGTTACGAAGGTAGTTTTTTTTGGTAGTTCGACTTCAATCTACCTTTCTGGTTCCTAACAAACCTTCTCAGCTCTTGCTTCTTACTTCGAGAAAAACGAAAACGTGTCTTATCAAAAATTCTTGCAATCACACCGAGACATTATAATTACTTCACCACCGTTCACCGATAATTGGGGAGGTCTTGAAAGTGCTTGGTCTGGCCGATTCTTAAGAGCTGCACAAATTTATTATCCAGATCGTTTTGAAGCCATAGAAAAGAAGGTAAGCCTTTGCTTTGGTGTTTTTTTTTTTCTTTTAAAAATTTGTGAAGGGCACTCCTTGCTGGTCAACGTGCCGGTCAAGGAGCATCTGGTCAACGTGCCGGGCCCGAGTGATGGATAAGTGCAACTCCTTGCTGGTCAACGTGCCGGTCAAGGAGCATCTGGTCAACGTGCCGGGCACCCCATCGCGATTTGTGTTTTTTTCCCTATTACTCACATTAGCGAAGGTCAAGTTCGAACGTCAAAATGATGCACTGAAGTTCTATTGGAAGGAGGTTATACGCGAAAAGCAAAAGGTACCTTTAACGTTTTTCTTGCTATACCTCAATTTCATACTAACCCGTGATGTAAAAAGATTTCTGTTAGAGAAACGCATGCTATCGGCAGTCTTAAACTGCTTGATGCCGCAGGAGAGAGTAATGTACAGGAATTGTTAGATGAAAGAGCAGTGGCGTCGACCTGTAAGCGAAAGCATCGACTCAAAGAAAACAGCTATATAAATAAGAAGGTAAAGTAACTGTAACTTTAAACGAGGAGACATAACCTTATAGTGTATTTTCCCGAATCCAGTCAAAACAAAGCGCGGAAACCTCCCATACTCCTAGTGGAGATAATGGATTGATTAGCATAGGACGAGAAACTGAAGGTAGAAGCCTTAATATTAATTTATTATTCATCTATGGGAATAACGTTAATAAGTTATCTATCTGTCCCTCTTCCTTCTTTTAGTAACTAAAGGAATCGTGAACAGCAATGATGTTGGGGATCAAGTGAATGATTCTTTAAACATTAAGCTTGAAAACGATGAAATAGTCGAATTCGATTTAGGAATTTTAGAAAAGCTGACAGAATCAAAGTCATCGTCAGAGGTAGGATAAATTGGTTTTTTGCTTCTGTTTTACAATATAAATTGTAACTTTGGTATTACCTCGGTGCTTTAGTGGACTGTAGGTACTATCAATGTGACGGCAAAGTTCAAGGAATATCAAAAAGAAGTCATCCAAAGTCTCAAGGATGGGAAAAAATTAACATGGCATAATACATCCGAACTATTGTAAGTACGCGTATTCTAGACATTTACAGCATGATGATATCTCATGCTAGTGTGAGGATGCTCAAAATTTTTTCGTCATATGCATAGGGCTATGTCATCGATCTTCGTTGCGACTTGGCCATGTCCGTATCCGAAGACATTCACAAGCGAAGAATGGAAAAAGATTATGGATTCAAATCCATTCAGAATCACTCACTCCGTCTTATCAGAATCAGAGCCACGAATCTCTATGCTCTGGGGCTTGAACATGATTTTCAACCAGGTGACACCGAGTTAGATCGAGTTGCTGCTCGTATTCTCAATAATATGTGCGCTGAGTTAAAATTTTTGTCGATGTCAGAATAATAAGTTGATCGAAGAAACTAAATCGAATTCTCATCCTCAATTTAAGCAAACATGAGCTTCCGGTATCACGAAAGCCGAAAACCTCTGAGGATGAACACCGTTATTACTATTTGGACCCATTTACCAAACCTTTGTTCGGTAGTCCATACAAAAGTTACGAATTAAGGTTAAATCGAGCAGTCGAAAATACAACAAAAAAACCAGACTTTTCATGTGCTGTTGATGGAATATCCCTACTCAACTCGGAAGTTAAGCCAATGGGTTGTTCAATCTTACAGAAGAAGGACTTTGTCAAAGTTAGTTTAAGAGCGAAGAAGACAATTAACCAGTTGATCAGCACGAAAGGCGGTCCAACTGAAGCAGTTTTCTTTACGAATATGGGTAGGGTTTATTGCGAAACTTACACCTTGTGTTTTGTCATTCCATACCATGCATTAATTGTCCTCTTTTTTTCTTCGAAAATACAGCTGAAACCGTTGAATCTTTCCTGATGGACTTAGAATATGACGGACTGTATAGAGCATGGCCCCTTCTTAACACAGACTTAGTGACAAGCAAAACAACCTTCCCATTATTCGTATCCACTTTCTCACATTTCGCGATAATTGAGGTATATGAAGTATTTTTATTTTATTTTTTATAGAACTTTACTAATACGCATGATTTTTCCACACATTGTTATGGGTAGCAACATGTCAGGAGACTGGCCAATAACTATGAAGGCCGTTCTCGCTACTTTACGCCACCCCAACAAACTGGTTATATTAGAGTGTTACCAGACTCTCCTCAATTTAAAGAGTTATTGAAGCGCTAGTTATCCTTCGGATTGTTTTGGTCTTAGATTTCATACTGTACGTGTCATCTCTGGTGGATTTTGATTAGTTTGAATTGTTTCACAGGTGGATATAAGTTAGCACGCCGATTAGAATAATGACAAAGCATCGGAACATCTCATTTTCTCTGTCGGGAAATACATCAATCTTCTCAGAAAAAATCAGTCATAGCCATATGAATGAGAATCAAGGCGTAAAGCAAAGTTATAGGCATGATGAATATCTCATCAGTGATTCAATGCTTAAAGCTCGTTTGTTACTTGAATCAAAAAGTGACAGAGCGAACTAAATAAATGTAAAGATGATGACAATAAACTATATATTAGTTGGTGACACCACCCACTCAACGTGGTGAGTGGTAATAAAGACCTCAAAAACTCAACGTGGTGAGTGGGTGGTGTTTTTTTTAGAATGCTTCTAATAGTGCTGTAATTTCACTTTGTCTGGTTTTGTTGCAGCATGCCCCCAAAAATCAATTACTCTAAATAAATATCCATGCTAGTTTACGTTGAAGAAGTCATTTTAAACCTGAAACGAATGAACTGTCTACTTCTATATCCCCATTCTGTTGCAAATGATTGTGTGAATTTTGAGTGCTTTCCAAGGCACTTTTGTTAGATATCTATCATAAGAGCCTCATTTTCGTCTTTATTCTCAGGAGCTTCTCGTAGAGTTTTAAAGTGCATTAGCGCTTTGTAATGCAGTCAAACGCGACATTTATCAAAACGAAGTATATACTGAACGTCGTATCAACCAAACGCAATATATGGGGCGTGCTGCAACAAAACCAGACAAAGTGAACATGCAGAATAAAATCAGCTGCGAAATTGAAAAAAAGAACAATTAAGTCCCTTACCCATATTAATATTCACTCATCTCGAGTGGAGCCGCGGGGAACCAATCCTGGTGTCACGACTGTGTAGAGTTTTTCTGCAAGGTTGTACCTTGTGTGATTGGCGTTGCGACGAAAAGGAGGAAGTGGTACTTTCGAAAAACAGAACGGGCATGTCTTGGATGTATTATACTCGTTGGTTGTGCCAACGTGTCCGTGGACGCGATGTTGTTCCCGAATTTTCTTTGTTCCCCTTCGAGAGTGTTCCTTGGTAGTACTATTAATCCCCTGCCAATGTCCGAAACAATGAATCACTGCTGGTGTCTGCTCGCCGGGGAGAAGCTGAACATGCGAACAGATATGTCTCCTTTCTTCTGCAGTGATTTTGCCATACACCTTCTTTGTTCGAATCTCCCGCTCCCGATTCTCCTTTGCTAGTTTTTTTCGTTGCGTATCCTCATCTACACCACATTTTAGTCTCTGATGATGCTTGTTTTGGTGTTTCTTCAAAAAGGTGGTATTATGGGTCTTTTATTCAAAGGCTATGTCGGTTTAAAAAAGACGTAGCAAATGACAGTATTAAATGTAAAAGACAAGTAACTCTAGACAGATATCTTGTGCAAATAAAGTTTTGCTATAAGAAAGTTTTATTCCCGTTAATTAAGGACTGTCTTATAACAAGAGACTCTCGATATAGGAAATTTTTGATATAAGAAAGGAATTTGGCGGGTCCTTATATTTTAAACTTAGAATTAGATTGATCCGTACGAGCCTATGAGAAAGTCCAGCACGTGAGAATAGTAGAGCGGTACTTGTTTACACGTACTTCGAGGTAATCAAATTTCTCAAATTTCTAAAATGCTCCACACGTTTATCAAAGAACAGTCTCAGCTTATGTGTTCATAAAGACATCTTCGATGATATAAAAACGTGTATGCATGGCAGAAATTTATAACCTGATGACGGCTATTTAGTTTTATAGAATTGCTAATACTAAAACTTATTCTACTGTGTTCCAAACTGAGGTCCTGTTAATTGTGACGGGATTTCAGTGTTAAGTAAAATGAGCAACAAGTATCTTATTGTTTTATTATAAATACATTTATGCATCAAGACGTCAAAGAAAAAGAACATAATCACTGCTATTACTAACAAAGCTGTCGATATCTAGTCTTTCAAGGCTTTACGAATTACAAAATTGTCGACTTTATTTAATCGGGTGAATGGACGAATAAAGAGCGAATTTCAATTTATGCGCGCTTCGCAAATCCAACCCAACCAATCACGTTCTGTTACCATGACCTCCACGCATAACAACACTTGTCGAAACATTCTATTATTGTACTGTTATTGTTAATATTAAGTGTGCCGATAAACGTTATGTCTTCCAACTCCTTACTTATCTCACATATCTTTTCCAACTTTCCATCTCATTTCTACTCTTATCGAACAACAGACAATTCGATCAATACAATCTTAGCATTATGGGTCCAGTGCTTTATTTGTGTCGGATAGAGAAGTTTTCGGCTGCACACCGCTTAAATTCCTCGCATTTGACTGAAGAAGAAAACAGACAAACTTATGGAAAATGTAACGGAATAAACTTTCACGGGCATAATTATACTGGTATAACTTTGAGAACATTTATGTCATGATATTTCCCAACTAGCTCTCCTGAAACAATTCTATTGATACGTTCTTATAAATGATGAGCTAGTCGAAGTAATTGTAAGAGGTGAGGTACGTTATTTCATACTAGTTTTTACATATCTTCTCTTTTGCATCTTAAATGTTTGCTCTATAAGATTTCACAATATAATCTTTGTTTTCTTTACTTGTATCAATTAAAGAAAGATCCAAAGACAGGCATGGTTCTAAACTTGACCGATTTAAAACGTTACATGGAAGTTGCAATAATGAATGTACTGGATCATAAGAATTTGGTAATTATATTCTTGTGGATAGCAAATATCATAATCATACGAATATACATTATTGTAAAACTCATTCCTGATGCTCTAGGATCTCGATGTGCCGTATTTTGCAGAGAGCAAACTGCCGAGGTAATATCATTCTCATATGGAATATCATGTTTAAACCTAAATTGCGTTTTTTCGAGCCAGGTTATAATAAGCATATTATTATTATGACGACGCTCTTAACTACAGCACTTTGCTTGCTTAATTTATACTTTACCCGTGACTTAATATACTTAACATCTAACACAAACTTCTCTTCCTGTCGACAGTACAACAGAGAATTTAGCCGTTTTCATATGGGTGAATCTTTTGAGGACATTTCCAAGAGATCGCAGTTATGATTTGTTCGAGATTAAACTACACGAGACCGATAATAACTATGTTGTATTCCGCGGTGAAGGATTATAAGAAACGACTTGAAGATCTACGATAAACAATGGATGGAAACAAATAAGGTAATATACTATGATTTAAAGTCTATTGGAGATTGCTGCTATGCTGTAATTGACTATTGTATTTGCAAAGACCTGGGTAACATAACACAACATAATACATCTAAATATTGAACTGAAGACAATAGACTAACGAGCATTCGTATGGAATGTCGTTGGACCGGTCACAAGCAACTGCAGAAATGCCCCAAGCAGCGACGAATGTCCCATTCCAATGATAATTTACCGCTAGTTGTAGAATATTTTGGAAACGTCGTTCATCGAATAGTATGATGTAGAGACATGCTGCTATACTGCCACAATTCCTCAAACTTCCATATAATAATAAAGTGCAATATCCGCAAATGTAATATTATTAAACGAGAGATCAATTAATATATATCAGCGAGAATATATTTTCGTTTTCATTAAACTGTAATTTTGTATTGGCTCTTCAAGAGTTCCATATAGACAACAATCCCGCATATTACATTAAGTTAATCATGACAATGAATGCAGGGAGGATTTTGTTTGTTTTTATTTCTTGGATCGGATCTTCTTCACGTAGAATTCGAGTTCCTTTCCCTCGAGAACGTAACCATCGGCTCGACCAGATTGGCCAGGGCGAGAAGATATAATGGCTGAGTATGTACGAGAGTGGATAAGACATTGAATATACTGATATTTGGTAGGAAAAAAAAAAAGACTCACACATGATTAGTGTATCTATCACGTACCAAAAAGACGACCTGTATTGAATTGGTCTTCAAGAAGTGGATCAATCTTGGATAATTCTTTACGCTCTTTGATTTTGCGTTGAACTTTATTCGATCGACTTTTTGTTAATTCTTCCGACTCAACCTACAACAATGGTATATTGCCAAGTTAATCATCGAGTTCATTTTATAGCCAAAAAAGGTCAACCCTCGATATCAAACTTCAAATCATTCATAACCTAATAATCGTCCCATTTCCCAATAACCCAATGATCTCGTTTAATTCAACTCAATTCGTCTTATTCCATACCTGTCCCTCCTTTTTTCCCTTACTTCTTCGAAGCGGTTGAGCATAATGGGCCTCATACCATTGTTTGAAAGGTGTCGCATCAATCTGTACAACGGCTCCCTTTACAAGCGTATTGGTTCTAACCAGTTCATTGTTCGAAGCATTATAGACTACCGCGATGAGTCTAGTCTTTCTTGTAACAGCCTCTGATCCCCAACTGTAATTGCCAGAATCTAAGCGCATGGCACGGAATTTAATGTTCCCACCACGCACACGTACAGAGTGAATACGCTTTGCACCTAATTTCGTGTTTGCGGGTTGACGGCCGAGCTCGAACTTTCTCTTTTTACGATAGTGAGCTCTTTTAGCCCCCGTATGAGAACGTTTGTGGCGGGAGTCTCTACTGATACCTAGAAGGAGACGGAAGTGAAAGAGCAAATGGTAATTAAAGGAAAAAACAGAATTAAGAGAGGGAAATCATCAGTCTTGACTCGGCAAAGATGGCGATCTGTTATCATTTACAAAGTCTGTTTCGCTAATGCGTCTGCAAAGCGAAGTAGACATGAAATAAATAAACACAGCTTTCGTAAAATATCAGCCTAACTCGGGTATTTAAACTAGTAATCGTGACACGGTTGATAGACTATTGCGGTGACTCTCTATCGCTATCGATCAAAGCATGATCGATGGATGGATGGATGAATGGATGTAAGTTGTTACTAACCCATGTTGCCCCTATATTCCCGTGTTTAAGCAAAGAGGGAGAACCATCGTTACAAGAAATTCGCTTAAGAATTTTGTCCAAATTTCCCTGCAATGTTTCCGAAAATTTTATAACGTCATTGCTATTGACCAATGATTTACGCGCTTGGCTACATACTTTTTGTGTTTATTAAAAAATTTTTTTGATAGTCAGTATTCATCCGGGTTGGGTTGCTAAACCGGAAGGAACGATTGCGGTTGGTACCTGTAATTATGGCGCCATTTTATCAACGTCCCGAGAATGCGCTAAAAAGAGCTGAAGGTATAGTTATCATTCGGTAGAATCTTGCAAAAAGTTATGGGATAAGCGATATTAGTTATTTTTTTTGCTCACACTCGCTACTATTAGAATTCAAAGAACATTTGGCTCTTTTGGAAAAGTAGTATAAATACAAAGTTAGATATGATGGCACCGATGTATATAGTTATACTGGACCGAATAAAATTTCCTCTAGTCAGTTGATTTATATCTTTACCTTTTTCTGATCCGAATTATACCATAGAACTCATCGCGGTCGGTCAGAATGCCGCAGCATTAACATCACTGCATGAGATTATAATTTCGAAAAGGTCGCGCAACCAGCAGCTTACTGCTCTGGAACCGATCATGCTTTTATTTGTCAAGTTGTGCGTTGATCTAAGAAAGGGAAAAATCGTTAAAGAAGGCTTGCTTCAATATAAGAATATCTCCCAGAATTCTAACGTACCAACTATCGAGGTATGAGGCTGGCTAGTCAAAACTTGCGAGGTTATCTGCCAGTAAATTGTGTTGACCTTTTGTCTGTTATCATAGCTCGTAATTAAGAAATTTATCGAATTGAGCGAAGAAAAGGTTACGGCAGCCCAAGCGAAAGCTGATAAAATTGCCTTGGATGTCGATGATCTTGAAGCATCAGAAACACCAGAGTCCATCATGTTGAGTACTGTCAGTGGAGAACAGAGCAAGGATAGAACTGACAGAGCTGTTGTCACACCGTGGCTTAGATTCTTATGGGATGCATATCGGACAGTATTGGACACATTGAGAAATAATGCACGATTAGAAATTTTGTATCAGGTGATTGAATGTTATTTTCCAAAAAAATGAATTTCACAAACTCAACACCATTCTGACATGATTTATTGTTTCAGGAAATTGCTCATCAAGCATTCCAGTTCTGTCTAAAATACTCTCGAAAAACAGAATTCAGAAGATTGTGTGATCTACTTCGGAATCATCTCCAAAACATATCCAAATATGCGCATCAACAACACGCAATAAACTTGAATGAACCCGAGACGCTTCAACGTCATTTGGATACTCGCTTTTCGCAACTCAACGCTGCAGTCGAATTGGAACTGTGGCAGGAAGCTTTTCGTTCAGTGGAAGATATACACAATCTGTTATCCATGTCGAAACGACTTCACAAGCCGGTGATGATGGCAAATTACTATGATAAATTGACGAAAATATTTCTAGTCAGCGGTAATTACCTGTTCCATGCGGCTGCTTGGAACAAATATTACACTCTGGTCAAAATGCAAAATAAATCATTGACAGATGAAGAGAACACTCGAATGGCATCTTTTGTGCTTCTATCTGCTCTGGCAATTCCAGTGATTACAAGTTCAAAGACGAGAGCATTAATAGAAATTGATGACACAAAGAGTAAACATCACCGACTTGCTGTGTTACTTGGGATGAGTCGTGCTCCAATGAGAACTGGTTTACTAAAAGAAGCTGTGGGTATTTTTCATATATTATTGTTAGCAATTATTATATTTACACCTTGGATATTTGCTTTGTTTCAATTTCATGATCTTTAATACCAAGTTTTGAACTTAAACTACTAGTTAAACAAGAACATTTTAAGGCGAGTTCGTCCTGAATTGAGAGAACTTTACAACATCTTGGAAGTGCAATTCCATCCGCTATCAATCTGCAAGAAAATCGAGCCAATCATGAACCAACTTGCTCAAGACAAAGAAATGGTTAAGTACGTCAAACCTCTTCATCAAGTCATATTGACCCGTCTATTCCAACAACTCTCACAAGTATACGATACGGTCAAACTTGATTTCGTCGTTAATCTCGCCTCATTCGCTGCTCCCTACAAATATGACGCAGCAGCTATCGAAAAATTCATCATGAACGGATGCAAGAAGGGCGAACTGTCGATTCGTATAGATCATACGACGAGTAGTTTGACGTTCGAGACTGATTTATTTTCTGCTCCCAAGAATTCCGAAGCCGATGGAGTCAAGCTACAATCATCGCCGGCGGATAGAATGCGTGATCATTTGTCAAAGCTTGCTAAATGTTTCCATGCGACAGTGCACATGATTGATCCATCTATTATTGAAGCCAAGGAAGAGGCTAAAAGGCAAGCCCTTCAGCGTGCATTAGCCGGCATGACGGAAGAACATAATAACGCTCTTGCACGAAAGGCTATAATAGAACGAAGAAAGAAGCTTGTCGAGACGTTACTTGTGCGAAAGGAAAAAGAAGAACAGCGAGAAAAAAGCTTACGACAAAAGCAGATGGAGGAAGATGCACAAAAACGCGCTATAGAAGAGGCCTTGAAACGAGAACGGGAGAGACGTCAACGCGAGATCGAAGCTATTCAAAAAGAGGAAGCCAAGAAGTTGGCCGAATCTCTTAGGAACAAGAATCTAAAAGTCGAAGCCAAGGTATTTTAAGAATATTGGTTACCATTCTTTTATTTAGAACGAAATGACCATGTCAAATTAATGCATGTATCGCTTTTATAGGACCTTGAGACTCTGGATACCGAGAAACTTGTTCAATTACAAGTAGAGCAGCTTGAAAAAGAAAAACGTGAACTCAACGAACGTCTCCGAGCAACAGCTAAACGAATGGATCATTTGGAACGTGCATATCGCAAGGAGGAGATTTCTCTTCTTGAAAAAGATTACGAACGACAAAAGAAAGCCGATAAAGCCTTCCATGAAGCTGCCCGCCAAGTTCAACTCGAAACTGCCCGTACTAAACATACAAGCGATCTCAAAATCAAGGAAAGACTGTCCAAAATGCTGTCGGATTATCATAACAATCGTGCGGAAATAGAGAACAAACGATTCGAAGAGTTTGAACAACGTCGGTTGGCGGCACAGGCAAAGGTTGAAGAAGAGAAGGAAAAGAGGAGGCAATTGTTCAGGGCGAAGAAAGAAGAGGAACGAAATAAGAAGGAAGCGGAAGAAGCAGCAAGACGGCAACAAGAAGAAGAGGCAAGGCAACTCCAAGAAGGTACGAAAACGGCACTAATGATTATTATAGGCAACGTTGACAGTACTATCTTGTTTTTAATTAATGATCTATCGTTTTATTGCATTGCAAACTTGAACAATGCAGAACTCGAAAGACAACGTGAAGAAGAACTCGAAAGGAAGAGGTATATGTCCGAGCTCTACCAAATTTGTCTCTATGTCTTATGCGTGTCGTTCATCTTAATCTCAATAAAATTTTCACAAAATTAGGAAACTCGACGAAGTTGTCGCTATACAACGCGAAAGAGAAGAGGCTGCAGAGAAGAGACGCCTTGCACGCGAAAAAGAGATTCGGGAGCGGGAAGAACAAGAACGAGAACGCAGGCGCGAGGAAGAGCTTGCTCGATTACGTCAATCTCCTCCTTCTTCACCTGTTACTACTAGCTCACCCAGTGCTTACGTACCGCCAAACAGACGTCCTACGACTGAAGCTTGGCGTCGTCCGGTGGCTGAAACGTCATGGCGTCGAAACACAGATGAAGCGAAGGGGACGCCAGCGAAGGATGCATCAGTTTATTCCAACAAAGAGGCGCGTCGTCCTCCTTTGCGAACTCCTGAAGATAGCGAACCGTCAAGAACTGATAAAAAACCTTGGCGTCGTTCAAATGATGTTAAACCTGATCAAACGAGCGAATGGCGTAGATCGGATCCAGGAAATGTAAGCAAACGCGTGGGTGAGGAACCGCGAAGAAGACAAGACAGCAGCGAAGATAGCGGACGTGGGCCGCCCCGAATCGCGCGGACAGGTTCAGAGAGTGGTTGGAGAGCGCGCGAAGCTGCTAGAAAAGCTGCCAACAATGAAGCAGATGGTGAGGGTCGAAATGGTTTCGATAGGGAAGATGGCGGGTATAGGACGAGAGACACGTCTGGGGATCACGAACGCGCCGATGAATCTGCTCAAGCTGCTGATGATGATGGATTTACTTTGATTAAGAGACGTAAGAAATAGAACGTATTGGGGGTAAGCGACTTTTTTAACTTTTTTAATTGGTACGTTTTTTATTTTATTTTATTTTATTTTCTCTCTCGAACTGACGGTATGCGAATAGACATAAATTTGCATCCATCTCAAAAAGAACGAATTAGTTTTTGGGGGTCTTTCTTTTGCATTTCAATAGAAGTTAGGGCACACTATTTCTTATTCTTAGTGTACATACGTTATGTATTTTTTTTCTTCTTTTCTTCAATGGACGACAATCATCACTAATAAACATGCGAACTCTTCTGATTTTAATATATATAAAGAATGGGTACAAGTAGATAACTGTTCGCTTCCACAATTGCCGACCGACATAACAAGCAGGTGATCCACTATTGTTATTCACGCCATACACATGATAAAGTGATATGCAAGACTCGCGCTTTCCCGCGATAATAATAGCGAGTCTCGTGGTTATTATTATACAGAACTAGTTAATAAGTTCACATCGGACTCTTCCAGTCAGATTAGCTAAAATTTGGCATCATATATTTGCATTATAGTAAAAATCCTCAATTTCGGACAATTTAAATTATGCATACTCTGCGATAAATGGGAAGAAATTGTATAACATTTAAATGTCTAGAAAACAAATATAATTAATGTCCTGAATCGGTTGCATAATAATTTAATATTGTACAAAACGTCGGTTACGGACAATATCTTACAATAAATATAAACTAGACTAGTCGAAAGGTCACATTGCTAATTTCGAATGTTGGACAAGAGCGATGGCGATAGCCTTTTATGACAAATTCGGAAAATTGTTATCAGCCTATAAGCAGCACAGCAGACTAGCTAGTAAACCTATTTTGGAAACATAATCACCCTGAATTACATCTCCCGATTTAACTTCACAATACCAATCAGTAGCATGTTAGGTCAACCGCACTATACCGAAATAATTCATATTGTTATTGGTCCTAATTACTATTATTTGCAATATAATATTATATTTGTACAGCTAGACCAACGCTCTTCTTCATTAAAATAACTTTGTAATAACTCGGATTGAAAACATCAACGGACTGCATGAGATGTATAATTATTTACTCGTTTTCAATACAATTAGACAATACTAACATATACAGTCCTACTGGCACAGAAAATATTTAAATTGTCAGTGTAGTATTAGTATTAGTGTGTATAAAAGCTGTCTTTACAACATTCAATCGAAATCCAATGAGAAAATTCTATTATCGTGGTTTGTTATTCAGGCTTCTAAGATGCAATCCATTTTATATGTATAAGGTACTTCTATATGTATATACGTATTAGGGCCAAAATTTTTGTAATAACGACTTTGGCTTATTATTCTTCTAGTCTTTTCTATTTTAGCCATTACACGTATGCATATCAACACCAAAATATGGCCCATGGTGAGCTCCAAAATTGAGGTCAGATACTTTCACAGAATTAACACAGTTTGGATTTTCATCACCACCACACTGTTTTGTCCCGCCTGATTCTGCAGTCGCATCGTCTTGGATCCAAATCTCTCCATTGTGATGACGGTAGCCGATAAATTGCGGCGGAAGGCGCGTATATGAGTCGACCGTATGTACAAAGCGGTTTACAGCCTAATCATGTGCAGTAAGTAGCAATAAATTGGCATTATTAATTCGAATCAAGGTATTGGGGAAGAAAACAGTTTTATATGATGTAAGCGTACCAATGTCTTGTCAACGTAATCAGCAAATATGTCATTGCCAAGTCGCGGCTGACCAAGCGTGTAAACAGAAAGTTTGTCGAACTTCAAAGTATCGCTATTCTGAACAAAATCAAGCCCAGTCAATACAGCCAAAGCTAATGGAAACATTGTTGAAAGTATTCAAGCGTGAGTTATAAGCACAAAATAATAAAATCAATATAATGCTATTAATGATAGTTTACCTCCACCCAGACTATGTCCGGAAACATCAATACTGTATCCGGGATTAAGTTCCAACTGCTTCTTAACCTCATTTACGAGTCTATCCCTTATCTCTTCGAATGCATTTATAAACCCAGCATGCACTTTTGCATCAGGAACAGGCTTATAATCACCAAATAAGAACTGAGCGTCTACAGCAATAGTTCTAAAATCCTGTGGCAAAGTACCACGAAAAGCAACAATTATCTTTTTATCATCTGGGTTCAATGCAACAAAGGCGCGAGATTCAGCAGCTTTCCCGTCAATCACGGATATCAACTGCGTCCCCGGTGTAGAAGAGCAAATCAGACCACAGTCCCAATTAGTGGTTAGATTTTTACAATAAGCTGCGGCAGCATAAAATGACATTGTGCGATAGTTGGAAATGAGATCTGGGGAAGTTATAGGAGTTACGGGAGAGGGTGTAGTAGTAGAAGTAGAATTGGTCGTGTTGTTGTCGGTGCTGTTAGTGGTTGAGTCGATGAATGGGATTGGGACCGAGTAAGCGGAATTAGAGAAGATGAAAAAAATGGCGAGAATAGCGATGATGATGTGGGTAAGAGTAGAGGGAGAGTGTGAATTGGATGATGCCATTTTTGGAAGAGATTTATACTTCTACTACTATGGTAATTATTGCAATGTGTGTGATCTAGCACAACACTTTGAAAAAGCAGGATGAATGACAAGTTGGATGGTCGAACGCTAATGAATGAAATCTTCCGACAACGAGCGGTTATTGCAATCGCAGTGTATTTATACTTGCATATTACCCCACAATCGCTTATTGTTGGATATATGCAGAAAATGCCTGAAACTTATTCATGACCAGAACGGGACAATGGAACCCTAAATGTCAAATATTACTGGCTGGTTTTGAAATCTTTGTGTTAATGCCAACTCGAGATTCGAATTGCAACCAATCATTGTTTACAAGACATTCTAGAAATGCACAATTCGGGTGTGGTACAGCAGGGAAGTTCGGCTATCATTTCGCCAAGTATAAGATTCCCATTCAAAAAGTGGACACAATGTCTTTAAATCTTATTGGGAATGCATGTGCTTTACAAAATAGATTAAATAACGGTAATAGAGAACAAGTGCTTATAACATGCAAAGTTGGAAATAGACGAGCTTGCACCAATGTTTTCTAAAAGGGGTAAACCCATTATAATAATTCTATACAATTTCATGTGGTACTAAAAGTAAGCGTAAATGCTTCTTATGGACAATATAGCGCATAAACAATACCTATCAATAAACAACCAGCGATAGTGACAAACCATTGAGCGCATGATAAATTGTGAGCGTCAATACTAATACTTAATGTTTTATCAGTGAATCTATTCGCTGCGTAACAATTGACATGTTTAACCATTACCGTCAATGTGGTGTACTTTTCCACCTGCTTAGAATCTGCACATTAACATGATTCTCAAATATTTTGACGCGGAATAAATTTGTCCACCTAGCGTACAAACACTGAGTGAATCGTTGATAAGCACAAAGTAGGATAAACCAGCAAACCTATTTTCAAGGTCAAAATGGTTTTCTGTATCCTTAAATCTGACTATGTCATATTGAATGACATATATACTGTATATATTATCGGTCTGCTCGAATGACGTTTACGCTAGACTTTTCACTAATCTTCTCTTGGAAATATCAACTCCAGCCTTTACCGCTTATACAATTATCTCTTTCCAGACACACAAACGAATATTAGCGAGGGAAAGGGCGAAGTAGTAACAATGCTATTAGAGTACGCAGCATATTTGTTCATTACATTACCAAATTCGATTGCTCTGACTAAATGTGTAATCAATCCATTATCCGCCAATTATGGTTAAAGTTTGATGTTAGTTGAACATCCACTCTTAATCGATAGATCATGTTCTTTACTTTGGTAAATTTACCTTTGCATATCTGAACCACGGGTCAAAAATCAAGGTGCTAGGTAATAGGAACAACGAGGCAATAATAATATGGTCACGAAATCGCCTCAAAGCACATCCGGGCTAGCGTTATTATAAAAGTGCCTGCTGTCGAATATAATACTAAATAATTTATTGACAACGGTATGATTGTATTTTTGTTTTCGAGTACAATACACTAATCGTTTGTATACACATATATATTATCCGACTCGGTCTTTCAAAGATTAAATTGATACTTGGTGTATTTTCTTTATTTTTATTACAGCAATTGTTTGCGTGACATGTTGGATCTATTACTCATCCACTTCTGTCTTGTTTCACTCTAATATACCGTCATCTGTGTATCCCAAGGATTCTCAGGAATCTTACTTCTACTTTTGTTGTATGAGATCATCTTGGAGTAGACAGCAATTTATTCGAGTACTCAACAGATGTGCTCTATCCCTCAAATAACATTAAAGGCGATGGTTTGCATAAAAGCAAATGAATAAATCCTTCAGCTAAATGTTAGAGTCAGTCGTAGTAATCAAAGTCAAATAAATATAGCATTATGACCTTTGCCAAATTAATTCGGGTTCTGTTACAGCACGCGTTTCTACTTAAAACACATTTGATGATCGTATTATCTGCATGTCAGTGGTTGAGAAAAATATTCCTCAATGATCCTTTATTATTGATAACTTCTCAGAATACGTATAATGTCCGTTATGATGAGATCCATGCCTAATTTATCGTTAGTTGATAAAAGTGTTCAATTGCATGACGTCTCAATTCATTATTTTTTCATATCAAACGCTCATCTCTGATTTACTGCCAAACCAATCTACTTATTCTTCTCGTGTGTCCCTCCCGCCGCCTTAACATCTTTCTTCATCTTATTCATCCACCACCATCCAATCCAAGGGACCAATACAGGCGTTGTCTCTTTATACTCTTTCCATTCTTTCAGATTTCCCCATCTCTTATCTCCCATTTTTTCCAGGATATTAATACCGCTAACCATATTGAGCAAGTATGTTAAGAAAATGGGACTGACAAGAGTCGAGTAGGCGACTGCGGGTTTGATACGTTCAGGATAACTGCGCGATATTTTAAGAAGGGCCGGCGTGCAGAATAGAGTCATACCCGCCCACTGATAAGTTGAAGAAAAAACGTGAGCAATGAGAAACGTCAGGGGTCTAGAAATAACACGGGTGACAACGAGTGCAATGAGACATAAAAAGTAACAATGTTCGCGTCGAGTCATGGTCAAGTAACAGTGCAAACCGACTAGGACATATTACTTCTGTTTCATTCTCTCAGATCAGGTCAAGTGAGCTTACCAAGATTATTTCTCCAAAGTAATTAGGATGTCTGCTTATTCTACAAATACAAAATTTAAGTTATACGCACGTCTATAAAGTGTAGTTCATAATCAACGGATTTACCTCCACAATCCGTTTGTAATAAATTTTCCATGATTCTTAGGATCTTTGCTGAAAGCACTCTTCTGTGCATCTGCAATAGCTTCAAATGAAATTCCAAAGAACCATAACGCAACTCCGAACATATCAGTGAGACCTATAGGAGGATGTAGCTCTGGTGGCTAGCCGAGTAGTGGTATTAAGATGTTAATAAAGGGTGATATCGATAGACGCTCCTTTCTTTCGAGTTAATTTTGTCAGACACATACCTACAAACATTACGCTGATTTAGAGTTTGCCCATGTGAAAATCTAAACTACCAACGCCTACTCACCAAGGCATTAACGCCATAAACACCAAGAGGAATCAGAAAAATCCATAATGCTTGTCCGAGCCAGAATATTAAAAACAATCCAGGCTTCCTCTTAACCTTTTCGAATCTTGCATCACCCCCTTTCCTAAATACTCGTGAGCCTAGAAATATGGCCAAACGCAGTGACCAGACTGTCTGCAGCGTAGTCGCTATGATTTGACGTGGATGATAGCGTGGTGGGGGAGGGGGAGTAATTGGGAAGGTGGTTGGTGGATAAGTGTGTTCGGATGCTGAGAATAAAGAAACAGGCTGCAAGTAGGAAAGGATGCCACATATAGTATGTGTCAAACTTGTTTAACCAAGTGGTGGAAATGTAGAGTCGTAGGATTGTAGAAATTAGCAGTGGTATAAGCATTTAAAGGATCGAGCGCGATGGGCACAGTTTACTTTACCATCCAAACAAATCATAAAGCTTTTAAATCATACGAGTGAATTGTATAAAAACAGATAAGTTAACGACAAATGTAGTAATCGACAGTATTAAACAATATGAATAAGGACGCGGTATAATCACCTTTTCGGTCTGCAATGGAGCAGAAATGGCGAATCCGGCTATTTGAGTTCCGTAGGCCACCAACCAGATGGGAGCAAGCTAAGATAGAAAAGATCAGGTCACTTTATCTTCATTCTTGTCAGGGTGTTGGGATAAATCTACAAATTTTTTGGCTACTTCATCATCCAGTTCAACTTTTCCCAGTCTGTCCACACCCTAAGAAACTCCGCTTCACAAAGTTATCCATAACGTACTATTCTTGCAGCGTCCGTTCCAAGAATTCCTGAAAGTAGTTCCATCATGATGAGAAAAAGAGGCGGCCAGGCATTAAATAGACGTTGCACAAGATCTTAGATATTGGGCTGAAAAAGGACGAGTGATGTAATTGTTTGGCGCCAAAGATTCTTATGCTATGTCGTACAGTCTTCATTAATTTTATTAGAAATACAGTCGAAGCTCGTTATAACAGATACACGTTACAATGAATCGCAAGAATTTTTTTTGGAACACAATTTTCTTATATTAAAAATTGTTTGTTATAATGGATTCTCATAGTAAAATCGCGTTATTACGCTATAATGGAATTCTTGATAGCTATGCCCAACTTTCTATTATAACGAGCTTCAACTGTATTAATATACAGTGCAATGCAAAAGTAATGAGAATTTTTTTGTGCATACAAATAAAATTCCATTTGTCAACTCAATCTTACTCCAATTAAAAAATCATGATAAAATTATGCTTCAAGGGCTTCTTTAGGGCATATTGACAAAGTTCAAGTTTTTGTTTATCAGATAATTAGATTGATTGCGACATTTTCGGTTTATTTTCTCTTCCTCTTCGAATTCCATCACTTTTATACTTTTCAACTATATCTACGTTAAACAATTAAGCTCTTCTGCTAGTTTGTAAATGAAACAAACAGTTTCTAACTCAAACACTGAAAGAATTTTTCCTTTGCACAACTGGATCTATAATAGTAATAATTAATTAAAATCCGTCTGCTGTTTCAAAGCTATTGTAAACAGTGATAAAAGTCAAACGCGAAAAAGAAAATAGCAATCTTCACACGCATGTAAAACTCGATCTATAACAAATAATGTGCGCGAATAGTGATGTTTGACTTGATATGGGGCATGCTGCAACAAAACCAGACAAAGTGAACATTTTATTATGTGACATAAATGAGAGGCTGATGTGGCTGTAAAATTGACCAGTGTGACTGATGACCTTTTGGAAAGTAATAATGGTGCTCATTCATAACTTATGGACTTGTTAATTTTAATGTTCACTTTATTATACCAGAATGTGATGAATATGAACCATAACATGATTAATATAGGATTATCTCTATATAAAAATATAAATATGAAACTCATTTACATCAAATC